TATAATTTAATTCAGATTAATGAGATGGCGAAATATAAAAATAAAACTTCCGAGAACGTATTTTCTTAATTTGTAGTTCAAGTCATTTTATCTAAATTAATTTGTTAACGTGTCTTCTGAAATTTGAATAAGATTAGACAGCCATGGGCGACAGTCAGATGGTAAAATGGTAGGGACCGTTTGGGTATCTGGACAGAGAGTTGAGGCGGGGGGATAATTGCGTTAATTTGACTTGATGATTCGTTCATAATTTTAATACGATTAATTTACTGTTATATAATTATCGATCCGCGTCACCATAAAAAAAACAACATGTGACGTCAGTGCGCCTGACGTCATTATTAGTCGTCGAGATCGAGGCTACACTTACACAATTAGAAAATGTCTTGTCATAGTCAGGAATGGCCCAAGGGGTACGGAGAGAGAGGGGAGGGGGGTCTGTAAGGGGTAGGGGGGGGGTAGAGCATTGTCTCGATAGGTTAGAGATTACGGAAAGAAGAAACCCTATTCGGCTCAGACTAATGAAATTATCTCTCTAAACACAATCTCCTAAGGCGAGGGGCGGACAGGAGGAAAATTTCGGGGGGGGGGGGGGGGGGGTATGGAAATACAAATTTGGGAAATAATGGCCCAAGTCTTGATGATAAACATAATGGAGAAGGCTAGAATAGATAATGATGGAGGCTACAATAGATAATGTAGGAGGCTACAATAGATAATGTAGGCTACAATAGATAATGGAGGCTACAATAGATAATGTAGGAGGCTACAATAGATAATGTAGGAGGCTACAATAGATAATGTAGGAGGCTACAATAGATAATGTAGGCTACAATAGATAATGGAGGAGGCTACAATAGATAATGTAGGAGGCTAGAATAGATAATGTAGGAGGCTACAATAGATAATGTAGGAGGCTACAATAGATAATGTAGGAGGCTACAATAGATAATGTAGGAGGCTACAATAGATAATGTAGGAGGCTACAATAGATAATGGAGGAGGCTACAATAGATAATGGAGGAGGCTACAATAGATAATGTAGGAGGCTACAATAGATAATGTAGGAGGCTACAATAGATAATGTAGGAGGCTACAATAGATAATGTAGGAGGCTACAATAGATAATGGAGGAGGCTACAATAGATAATGGAGGAGGCTACAATAGATAATGTAGGCTACAATAGATAATGTAGGAGGCTACAATAGATAATGTAGGAGGCTACAATAGATAATGTAGGAGGCTACAATAGATAATGTAGGAGGCTACAATAGATAATGTAGGAGGCTACAATAGATAATGTAGGAGGCTACAATAGATAATGTAGGAGGCTAGAATAGATAATGTAGGAGGCTACAATAGATAATGTAGGCTACAATAGATAATGTAGGAGGCTACAATAGATAATGTAGGAGGCTAGAATAGATAATGGAGGAGGCTACAATAGATAATGTAGGAGGCTACAATAGATAATGTAGGAGGCTACAATAGATAATGTAGGAGGCTACAATAGATAATGTAGGAGGCTACAATAGATAATGTAGAAGGCTAGAATAGATAATGTAGGAGGCTACAATAGATAATGTAGGCTACAATAGATAATGGAGGCTACAATAGATAATGTAGGAGGCTACAATAGATAATGTAGGAGGCTACAATAGATAATGTAGGAGGCTACAATAGATAATGTAGGCTACAATAGATAATGGAGGAGGCTACAATAGATAATGTAGGAGGCTACAATAGATAATGGAGGAGGCTACAATAGATAATGGAGGCTACAATAGATAATGTAGGCTACAATAGATAATGGAGGAGGCTACAATAGATAATGGAGGCTACAATAGATAATGTAGGCTACAATAGATAATGTAGGAGGCTACAATAGATAATGTAGGAGGCTACAATAGATAATGTAGGAGGCTACAATAGATAATGGAGGAGGCTACAATAGATAATGTAGGAGGCTACAATAGATAATGTAGGAGGTTACAATAGATAATGGAGGAGGCTACAATAGATAATGTAGGAGGCTACAATAGATAGGGGAGTAGGCTACAATAGATAATGTAGGCTACAAATAGATAATGGAGGAGGCTACAATAGATAATGTAGGAGGCTACAATAGATAGGGGAGTAGGCTACAATAGATAATGTAGGAGGCTACAATAGATAATGTAGGAGGCTACAATAGATAATGTAGGAGGCTACAGTAGATAATGGAGGAGGCTACAATAGATAATGTAGGAGGCTACAATTGATAATGTAGGAGGCTTCAATAGATACTGTAGGAGGCTACAATAGATAATGTAGGCTACAATAGATAATGGAGGCTACAATAGATAATGTAGGAGGCTACAATAGATAATGTAGGAGGCTACAATAGATAATGTAGGAGGCTACAGTAGATAATGGAGGAGGCTACAATAGATAATGTAGGAGGCTACAATAGATAATGTAGGAGGCTTCAATAGATACTGTAGGAGGCTACAATAGATAATGTAGGCTACAATAGATAATGGAGGTTACAATAGATAATGGAGGTTACAATAGATAATGTAGGAGGCTACAATAGATAATGTAGGAGGCTACAATAGATAATGTAGGAGGCTACAATAGATAATGTAGGAGGTTACAATAGATAATGTAGGAGGCTACAATAGATAATGTAGGAGGCTACAATAGATAATGTAGGCTACAATAGATAATGTAGGAGGCTACAATAGATAATGGAGGAGGCTACAATAGATAATGTAGGAGGCTACAATAGATAATGTAGGAGGCTACAATAGATAATGGAGGAGGCTACAATAGATAATATAGGAGGCTACAATAGATAATGTAGGAGGCTACAATAGATAATGTAGGAGGCTACAATAGATAATGTAGGAGGCTACAATAGATAATGTAGGAGGCTACAATAGATAATGTAGGAGGCTACAATAGATAATGTAGGAGGCTACAATAGATAATGTAGGAGGCTACAATAGATAATGTAGGAGGCTACAATAGATAATGTAGGCTACAATAGATAATGGAGGAGGCTACAATAGATAATGTAGGAGGCTACAATAGATAATGTAGGAGGCTACAATAGATAATGTAGGCTACAATAGATAATGGAGGAGGCTACAATAGATAATGTAGGAGGCTACAATAGATAATGTAGGAGGCTACAATAGATAATGTAGGCTACAATAGATAATGGAGGAGGCTACAATAGATAATGTAGGAGGCTACAATAGATAATGTAGGCTACAATAGATAATGGAGGAGGCTACAATAGATAATGTAGGAGGCTACAATAGATAATGGAGGCTACAATAGATAATGTAGGAGGCTACAATAGATAATGTAGGAGGCTACAATAGATAATGTAGGAGGCTACAATAGATAATGTAGAAGGCTACAATAGATAGGGGAGTAGGCTACAATAGATAATGTAGGAGGCTACAATAGATAATGGAGGCTTCAATAGATAATGTAGGAGGCTACAATAGATAATGGAGGCTTCAATAGATAATGTAGGAGGCTACAATAGATAATGGAGGCTTCAATAGATAATGTAGGAGGCTACAATAGATTTTGGAGGAGGCTACAATAGATAATGTAGGAGGTTACAATAGATAATGGACCGCTGGCCGAAGAATATAAGTACAAAGAACAATGCCCTCGTTAGTATATTTTCTGCCACATCAACTACATCAGCTATTTGTTTTAAATTGTTTTTTTAACTACGGGTGTTGAAAAGAAAACAGTAAACAAAGTGTTTGGGTGAGAATGTAGTCTACAACTAACTAGTCCTATTGTTTTTGTAGAGGGTGTGGTTCGGTTAAAATTGTAATGTGGTCTATAGCCAACACGCCATAATACTTTAGTAGAGAATGTGTTTGAGTACAAATGTAGTCTAAAACTTAATAGTTTTAAGGTTTTTGTAAAGGTTGTGTTGGTAAGAATGTAGTCTAGTCTTAGTGTTTTTGAAGAGCTTGATTAAGAATGTGTTTTATAACCTGGTCATAATATTTTTGTAAAGAATAGGTTTGGGTAAGAATGGAGACAATAGCTAGTCTTAATATTTAAAAAAAACACTTTCACAATGAAATTTATCTTGGTCAGTGTCCTGGGACATGTTTGAAATACAAGTCTCAAGTAAGCGTCTGGCACATGTCCCAAGAACATGTTCAGGGTTAGCGTCTTAAGCACAGGTACCAGTACAAATCCTTGATACTTGTTCACAGTATGTCAAAGACCTAACACCCACACTCGTATTATTTTTTTTTTCCCCGACTTAGACATGTAATTTACAGCGTCAGTTTGTCTTGCATGTTCGCTTTAGTATTACGGTTTTCATCATCGGCTTGTGAGGACTGATACGGATTTACATTAGTAATATTTCTTTCTTACTTGTAAACTACTTAAATTCATTTAAGATGGTTTACTCATACATAGATCTAATACTTCTTTCTTCTTCTTCTTCGTTCTTAATTATTAGTTTTGAAGGGGATCGAGATTGATCTGCCAGTGGGTTTGAACTCGAGACTTTGTGCGAATTTATCAACCATGACCTTTTTGCCGACTCGACCACGCCTCCAACACAATTAAGCGTTACGTGTCAACTGGTTATGCGCCATTGAGGCCATTGACTCCGATTTCAGCCTGCTTTTCTTTTTGGATTTGCTTCCATAGCCTTTGTCCAACCAAGAACAAACTACAAGGCAGCCGTTTTAATTTTCGATTTGTCTCTCCTAGAAGAGTGGCTGTCCCTTTTCGGTTTAGCAACCATGAGCTTTACCGACTTGACCACGCCGACCCTGATCTAATACAAAACGTCTAATTACAAATTTACGTATTATTTAAGCAACTTTATTTAAAACCTCAGACTTTGGTAGACATCAGCCGATTGAAATTATTTTTTTGGTTTCTGAACTTTATGAGGTGATTGTTGTATATACTTTACAGCGTGTGTATACAAAACAAAAATCAGTACACGCATATTTACCTGAATCTTTAGCAAATCACAACAACCTGTAACAAAAGATAAAAAAATGTCAAATTTAGTTTCGTATAAAATATTTGGGTTTTAGTTTTTTGATTGTTCAAATTTCATGTTGGTTTTCCCCAATAATTTTTTTCAGTTATCTCCCTGCAACTACAATATTTTTAAAAGTTGAAAATGGTTTGAAAATAAATTATATTTATTTATACAAACATGACGTGAGATTCTAAACGTTGCTACATAAAAGGCTATGAGGAAAAAAAATTAAAATAAAATAATATTCATTTTTCTAGAAATTGCTTTTAAATATACTCCGTCCTAATTATATTCGAACCAAGATTTTATTTAAAAAAAAAAAAAAAAAAAAGATATTTGATTGCATTTACTTAATATTCATCGCATAATTATGTCTAAACTTTCCTTCTGAAGTCGTCTTTTATAAAAAAAATCAATTTGTTATTTTTTTCAATTTTTTTTTCGGTTGTGTTTCTCTGAAGTGGCTGATGGATGAACTGGGTATAAATGTTTGGCGTGACACACAGAAATGTGACATCGCATGTCAGGCCACATGTCACCGGCATCTGTCAGATGTCACACACATGCGGGATAACAACAACAAAAAAATCTCAGATTAGATTGGCAAAAAAAAATTGTAGGTGTCTAGATTGGAGAGAAAATATGGCTGTGTATATCCGTAGAAAGAAAGAAAAAAAAATATCGTGCCCGAAAGAGCTTTGGCGTATTTCGTTAATAAAGAATCAATGCCTGCGTGATTTTGTCAAAGTTTTTATGCTGGGGATGGGGTGGGGGTGCAGTTTTGAGATGAGAGGTAGATAGATTTGAACGTAGGACTACAATATTGTTTTGAAAGCTTGTTATTGTGCAGTTTATTCAACATTAAGACTGTTGGAGCAATACAATTTTTAAAGGACAGCGTCTAATTAAACTTTAAAATTTTAATTAAACTTTAGCTTCTTAGTTGAATTCATGATAGCAAAAAGTCTAAATTTCGGTTCCTGGGAACGAGTCCTTAGGACGCCCCTAGTCCACACAAGCCTGTCGCGTACCTCACTGTTGCTAGTGAGAGTACAGACGTCTGAGCATAGTGCATAACATACTATCCCTTCATATGCTGCGCTCAAAGAAACACGCGAAATCGACTTTGTCTGCTCTATGGACTGCCTTTTTCGAAAGATTCACTTTATTACTCTATTGCTTTATATATATATATATATATATATATATATATATATATATATATATATATATATATATATATATATATATATATATATATATATATATATATATATATATACATACTTATATCTTTTCGATAGCGGACTGAACGTCCATACATGAGATCAAGATTGAGATGCAATTAAAAAGCTTTTATTGCTGCACCTGGTGACGTCCTGCCCTAAGTAAAGTTTGTCCAGATTTATCTAAATTTCTTTTGTCCATTCGCTTTGCCAGAAACCTTCGCCCGCGTGTTGTAATTTTAATTCAATCGGCTAAACACATTTACATTTCTATCCCGCCTAATTCTGTTTCCCAGATTACGTCCCCTCCTTACGTTTCTGTCTAGGTTACCGTCCTTGGTGAAATTGTAAAGTAATTTAACTCTCATTTTCGCGTCTTTAATCCAATATGAAGAAAGACGGAACGGGGTTACATTAAAGACGGGGAACAAAGAGAATCTTCTGGCTGCAGCCATAGCTCTAGCTGGAGTCCCTGATTGATCTGGCTTAGAGAGTTCAGACATCTTTGTTCAACATCACGCTAACAAGGGAGGCAATACATAGGGATATTGCTTTCCAGAGTTGTCCTTAAGCATTGCGGTATACGCACTGGGATCAATACAACAATTATATGTTTTTAGTGTTTGGTCAGGGAGGGGGGATGGCCCGTGGCAAGTTGCGCTATTTATTTACATGGTGGTTTATGTCTCTATTTGTGGCACTAGTGGGAGACAACCAGCGGAATTAGCGGGGGAAAGGGGAGATAATTGCTCATTAATAATGTCAACCTTTGCTGTAAAGGGAGGTAAGTGCGCGCGGTTGATTTGTGTATCTTTACCATTACAGCGTGGTGGAGATTTAGAGTGAGAAGTAATTTTCGAGTTGATATATAGGAGGTTCTGGGTAACGGGCAGCGAGTAATGGAAACAAATAGGGTCTAGAGTGACTTGATACTGCTGGTAAAGTCTGTGCTAGACTTGTTAATGGCCATTCTTTATCATTATTATAGTCAGCTCTAGACGATATATATATATATATATATATATATATATATATATATATATATATATATATATATATATATATACATATATATATATATACATATATATACATACATATATATTTAATATATACATATATATGCATACATATATATTATATATATGTATATATATATATATATATATATATATATATATATATATATATATATATATATATATATTGCATAGGCCTATATAAATATAATATGTGTTCACATGTAATTGTAAGTTTTTATCATATTTCCTGTCATATCTGAGAGAAGTTAAGTCAATTTTTGCCCGTAGAAAATGTTTATTATATTTTATCCTCTACATACAACTTTAAAATAGTTGCTGTCAATGTGTGCTGCGGACGCTCAAATGTTCAGCCGATTGACAGTAGATTTTTGTCAATATTTGTATGCCTAAAATTTTGTCTGAGCTATTTTTTATGATTATTATATTAGATCCTGAGACATTTTGTAACTTTTTTTTTAAATGAGATACATGGTTTATAATTTATTTTGTTTTGCAAAATATACTTATCGGTGTAAAATCAAACTTTTCATACTGATACATTCGAAATGTCGTTCATTACATTTCCAAAGTCAATAGCCCATACACACATACACATAAGCAGTTTCTTTCTAACACACATACCATGGTTTCTCTCACTCACTCTCACGCACACGCACACATACACGCACATACATACACACACACACAAACCAAAACATCCCCACACATTCCTCCCATGAAACACTTTCCCCACACACAAACAGAGTCAATCAAAAGCTATTTATAGCCCAGGCCCTAACAGCTGTTTACTGACGGGAGAAACAAAATACCGAGAACAAACTAAAATTGCCCGCACGCTCGCACGAACCGTTTTCTTCCCGGCTATTCTAGTTCTTTGAATTGCCAGGCATTGCTTGGCCCAGTGGATTTCGCCTGGATTCAAGTCTGATATCGACAGGCCTGCCTTTGGAAAACTAACCTGTAATTGTGATATGGGCCGCCATTTTTTTTACGGGCGCCATTTTGTAAAGGTCGACTTTTTGTTAAAAGTGCCATTTTGTAAAGGTCGACTTTTTGTTAAAAGTGCCATTTTGTAAAGGTCGACTTTTTGTTAAAAGTGCCTTTTTGTAAAGGTCGACTTTTTGTTAAAAGTGCCATTTTGTAAAGGCCACTTTTTGTTAAAAGTGCCTTTTTGTAAAGGCCACCCTTTTGCTAGAAGTGCCATTTTATGAAGGCCACTTTTTTGTTAAAATTGCCATTTTATAAAGGCCGTTTTATAAAGGCCACCTTATAATTTTGCATCATTTTGTTCAAATTTTCTAAACCTTAAATTACATTTAAATGTTTGTTTATAATACCAATTATTAACCTCACTTAGAAGTCACGAGTATTACTTTATAGTCTTTTAACTGAAGTTGACTTTAAAAAAAAAAGATATTTTTAAACATATTTTGGTCTGATCTAATTTTATGACATCAAAACTAGATTATACATGCGCTCACAAAACGCTGGCAGAACTCAACATAAAATAGACAATTTATTATTTCACCGTCTCGTGAATAAGTTTAAGCAGGCTTCAGCTTTATCAATTTTTTTAGCAGTGTAATCTGGGCACACTAATCTTAACGCGATGCCCTTATTAATTAATGCATTTAATCAGAGTCTAGAAGTATCAAAATCATGGTTCCTGGTGATGTACAAAGGTCACCAACAGGTCCTCTCACTAACTAGTTAACTCATCAACAAGTCCTCTCACTAACTAGTTAGGTCACCAACAGGTCCTCTCACTAACTAGTTAGGTCACCAACAGGTCCTCTCACTAACTAGTTAGGTCACCAACAGTTCCTCTCACTAACTAGTTAGGTCACCAACAGGTCCTCTCACTAACTAGTTAGGTCACCAACAGTTCCTCTCACTAACTAGTTAGGTCACCAACAGGTCCTCTCACTAACTAGTTAGGTCACCAACAGGTCCTCTCACTAACTAGTTAGGTCACCAACAGTTCCTCTCACTAACTAGTTAGGTCACCAACAGGTCCTCTCACTAACTAGTTAGGTCACCAACAGTTCCTCTCACTAACTAGTTAGGTCACCAACAAGTCCTCTCACTAACTAGTTAGGTCACCAACAAGTCCTCTCACTAACTAGTTAGGTCACCAACAGGTCCTCTCACTAACTAGTTAGGTCACCAACAGGTCCTCTCACTAGTTAGGTCACCAACATGTCCTCTCACTAACTAGTTAGGTCACCAACAGTTCCTCTCACTAACTAGTTAGGTCACCAACAAGTCCTCTCACTAACTAGTTAGGTCACCAACAGGTCCTCTCACTAGTTAGGTCACCAACAGGTCCTCTCACTATTTTGTTAGGTCACCAACAGTTCCTCTCACTAACTAGTTAGGTCACCAATAGGTCCTCTCACTAGTTTGTTAGGTCACCAACAGTTCCTCTCACTAACTAGTTAGGTCACCAACAGGTCCTCTCACTAACTAGTTAGGTCACCAACAGGTCCTCTAACTAACTAGTTAGGTCACCAACAGGTCCTCTCACTAGTTTGTTAGGTCACCAACAGGTCCTCTCACTAACTAGTTAGGTCACCAACAGGTCCTCTAACTAGTTAGGTCACCAACAGGTCCTCTCACCACCTAGTTGTATCACCACCATGACCACCCACCACCTAGCTGTGTCACCACCAACCCACCACACTTAACCACAAGAATAGAGACAGCTCAAGCTATCAAAGCTCT